AGCTGCTTTTACAGGGCTGTCAGCTCCAGGCCGCGGCGGGGGGAGCAAAGGGCTGGGTGACAGCTGAAGAGCTTTACCAACAAAGGGGGATTCAGGAGAGCTGCGGTGACAACTGCTCCGGGAAGCATCCCCCGCCGCGGAAAATGCTGTGCCTGCAGGAGGGATTTAGCTCGGTTGGCTCCCTGCAGCCCAGGCCGCTACGGTGGGCGCTGCTCCCAGCCTCCCGGGTACGACACGCTGAACAGCCGGGAGAGCTTTCTGTAGGCACAAAAAAAGACCCGATTTACCACGTTGCGTGTTCCTACTCTCTCCCGCAGCACGTGAGCTGCGCAGGCAGTAGCTGCTTACACAGATGCATCCCTCCCACCCAAAGCAAGGAAGTCAGCTGAAGCCAGCGGAGTTTCAGTACCCCTCTCTCCCTCCACCACAGCTGTAACCCACGCACGGGTCTACAAGATCCTGTGAAGTGAGGTGAGCAGATACATGCTGGTTTCTAGCGGGGAAAGCAGCAGCTGCTGGTTTGCACAGACTTCAGCGACTTCAGACAGCGCCTGTTCCAGCCAGATGATTCTGCCTCCCCGGGTCCTCCAAGAACCCATTTCCCCTCACGTAAAGCTTGAGCACAGACTGGTCGTACAACCGGTCCGAACTCAGATCGTTTCTGCGAGCCCCAGTCATGCTCCCAGCCAGCGACACCACTTTTTCCTTGCCAAGAACAGCAACGTCCTCTCTGCGTCGATGCCAGAAATTAGAAGCTATCCCAGGAAACGTCGCTGTACTTGCCCTGTTCTTCAGCTGACGCGGGCTCGGAGGTCACTAACCCATCTGGCTGGCTGTTCATTTTGTTTTTGCACACCCGGCTGTGCGCTAGTCCTCATGCTGCAGTGATGCTCAGAGAGCTGGTTCGATTCACGAGTGGCAGAAAACTAAACACAAGAAGAGTTCAGCTCAGCAAGAGGTCCGAGCCAGCCCAAGGGTGGGGATGGCCGTACCTTGCTCCCACCGAAAGGAATGATCCTACCGAAGAGCTCTCTTGTGAGTGCTTGTTTCTGTACCTTCTCCCGAAGCTCCCATTACTAACCCCTCTGCTAGCTAGGCCTCTGGTCTCGCCCAGTGCAGCTCTTCTTCCATCACGTTAAAACTCATTTTCCAGTGTAATCCCTGAGCTAGGGCAGGCTCCGAGTTGTTGTTGATGGTCTTCAAAGTTTTGAACCAGCTGTACAATTGGCCTTGCCCTTGAAGGCAAGCTGATACAAGCTCCAAGTCCTAAGAGTGAACCAAAAGCTCACGGACGCTGGCAGCCGGTCCAGTCCCGACTGGACTGGAGCAGCACAACAGCTGAGAAAAGATGCAGCCACGGGCCTAAACAAGGCAGCGCTGCATCAGAAAAGCAATCCTTCTGGAATTCTCCTCCAGCCCTGGTACGCCTTCCCTGCTTGCGCAGCTGGGACACGGCGGGGCCCGCCGCTGGTCCCCCCCCCCCCCGCCGGTCCTCCTCCTCCCGGCAGGCTGCACAGACGCTCGCTGCGGTGGCAGCCCCCCAGTTTTAGGTCCTTCTGTCAAACGAGGAGAGGACACGCAACGGTTACAGGCATCACATACAGGTGGGAGCTGCCAGCTCTCAAACCAGAAGGGACGTGGAATGATTATTTCCTTTTCAACACATTTCCAATCAGCTCTACCTGCCTCAATTTACACTTCTCCAGAAACAGAGGAGGTGCGGTCCCACAGAGGAGTCTTTGCATGCCTTGAAAAAGCAGGTGAGATTCTGCAAGAATATTAGTTTAATCCCAAACCAGTCTTAAAACACGTAGCTCCTTAGTGCCGTGGCTAACACTCAAGTAGGAATGCAGCCCTGTTCTCTCTGTGACTTGCTTTCTAACTGCCACAAAAGAAACAGCGGTAGTTATTTGCTTTTACATCAAACTGGAGGAAAGGAGTGAGAACATGGGCACAGGTACAGCATCGACAATGCCTCCGCATTTCCCACTCGGGTAACCCTGTCCTGTTGGCTCCCCGGCAGCAATTAAAAAGAATCAGTATGCCGTCCTCCTTGCTGAAATGAGGTATTGGGTTGGAACTGTCACAAAAAGGAAGACAGGTAGATAAATCAGAGGAATAAAAATAAATCAAGTCCAGATTGCAAGGCCACAGTGGCACTGAAGGAGGTACCAGCAGTACCTGCAGATTGGAAGAACAATGGGATTGACTCGAAGCCGGGAGCACGCAAAATCGCCTCTGTTGGGAACGAGAAGCAGAAGAGGTATGTTACAAAAGCATTTCGACAATGGCCCTACATAGCTTTCAGCCACCACAATTCAGACCATTTTCTGGAATTGGGCCTTGTTAAAAGCCAAGCACCGACGCGCCCGGAGCGCCCACGCGGAGAGCAGGGGCTCATTAGCTAATTGTGTCTGCATCTAGCAGAGGATGCGGACAGGGCATGGGGAGGGATCTGCTGAAGAGCAATTGCAAAAATTCTGTTTACGCAGAAACGAGCAAACTTGCTGTCTGCTGCCACAAAACCATTTACTCTCCAAGGTGTTCCATTCTACAATGTAGTGATGTAAATATTTCAAAAGCCTCCGGGCTGCTGTCCCACACTCTGCTTCAGCTTATTTACCTACAGTTACTGGTTTCAACAAAGCTCACTAACAAAATATACAAGTCTTTCCACTTTCCCAACCCTTGTTCCACTACACCAAATCGGTTAAGAGGCAGCTTCAGACCCACAGGAGCGCCCTCGGAGGCGGCTCTCTCCCTGAACCCCCAGGTATGGGGGGGGGAGGTGGGTCAGCTCTCTGCTTGGAATCCAGCCCTTCCACAGCGACTCTCTGCACTGTGCCTCTTATCTAGAAGCTAAGCCGAAAGCAGCATGCGACACCCGGAAGGTGAAACCCCCTTCTCGCCAGTACGAGGTGGCAAGAGAGACGCAACACAAGGCTTCTTGCCATACCGCCCGGGGAGGACAGGGAAGGGGGCAAGAAGCACGCACTGCAGTCTGGTAACAAAGCTACCGACACAAACCTTCTCCCAAAGCCACCACAGCCCCAGCAGCTTCCAAAACACACCCCACCATACGGACGTACTGATCACGTGCGAGAAAGCGCTAGAGAGAGTCCCCCAAGCACCCCCGTAGCTATAACACCATTTAGCATACTGCGGTACTTTGGGCATCAGAGGTGCACCCCCGTAGGGGTTTTTTTTTTTTTTCAGATCATGATATGAAAAAAGTGACTGGCCGACAGGATAATGCAAAATAATTGATTTTATTTAAAATAAAAAGCAAAAACACAATCATCCAAACAAGACAATTAAGAGTATCCCAGCTCTGCTGGATGGGGTGATAAAAGCAGCTAACGGCAGTGGCAGGGCTTGGAGCCGACAGTGTGACTGTCCAACGAATCAGTACGCTCTTTCCTTCCCCCCTTTGCAAGGGGGATGCCAAAAACCTCCCATTACAATTAGCCCACACAGGCATTTCGGATTTGATTCAGTCAACAGTCTTGCTTCCTGCCCCACGATGGCTGGGGATTCAGGGAGGAAAAGGGTCTAGGTTAATTATGAAAGAGGTTGCTGTCTTTCTTCTAAGCGTTTGGAGAGGCTTACCGTAACTGAGAAGACAAACTGGAGCCAGCGTACCCGAGCTGGAAAGGGGAGGAAGGTATGCCAGTGCTCCCTCGGCGTCACCTGCTCCCACAGCACTTGTCCAGAGAACAGGTGCCGAGATCGGCGCGCCTGTTGTTCACATCTACAGTTCTGACGGGGCGTTTATTCATCCACTCCTGAACTGTCACAGCAGACAAGCCTGTATTGGTTACCAGACTCAAAAGCGCGGCCAGAGCTCACAAATCCCTTTACCTTTCGCCAGAGCAGGCAGGACGATGACACCGATACGCACAGTACAGTCGGGAAGCCCACAGTCCAAACCCAGCTCGCGGCTCTCTAAGCCTGTCCCTGGGGAGCAAGGCAGCCCACAAAGCACCAGCGGGCTGACAGAGCGCCGGCGGGGGCCGAGGCAGAGCAGCGCTGCTGCTTTGGGGCTCAAGGAAACGAGGGGCCCGCTGGGTCTGGGCGCCGGACCACAGCAGCCTGCTACATCCAGGGGCTCTACAGTACGCAAAAGCAGTGGGGTCAGAACAAGAGACACGGATGCCCCAAGATGCAAAAGTCTGGAGAAGTGAGAGCACAAAACCCACTCTCCCCAGCCAGCCTCCCACAAGCATGGAGCTAGGCACAAGGGGAGCACAGTTTTTAACTTTATTCCTCATTCACCCGGCCTGGAACGAGGGCCTGGGAAGCACCAGCTCCCCCCCTTCCTGTAAGGCCAGTGAAGCTGACTCCCTGATGAGAGATAATTTATTCTAGTTCTATTTTAAAAAAAATCCCGATCTAGCAGGACCTCCTGTTTAGAGCAGGCCATGAAATGCCAACAGTTAAACCCTGGTGAAAACAAAAAGCCTTGTTCTGCTACAATTTATGTACCACACAGCAATTCTGGAAGGGCCACCACAGAACACCACGTGGCCAAGAGTGCTGAACACGTCCCCAGTGTTTTCTGCTACAAAAAGCTAACACCAGGTTAGGAAGTCTCAGGTTGCTTAGGATGTCTGGAACCCTTTTTGTGGGAGGACGACTTCAAAGCATCTTACACAGTAATTACATTTCAGCCTCACAACATCCCTGTGAGGTAGGTATTTTCCTCATCTACTGAAACAAAGACAGAAGCTCACCAGTTCGGCTGAGGCAAGAGCCTGTAAGCGGAAGAACCAGAGATCCCAGGAGTCCCGATTCCCAGGTAGCCTAAACAGATACACCCTTGTTTCGTATCAGAAAGTGCCTGGTGGAGAAGTCAGTATAGCGTTGCTGGTATCGCGATGCCTGCAGTCCATTTCAAACACACTGCTTTTCTGTGAGGGACGTCAAACGAACACAGGCTTCAATCTGAAATTGTTTTATTTCACTCCATGGAAGAGTTCACAGGCATGGAAGAATACTCTGCACTCTGGATCTGCCCACTGTGCTTCTGGGGGTAGAGGTGTGGCTTTCCCGGCACAGCGATCAGGCTTTCACGCACATGTAAGATTTTAAGACTGCGCAACTGAACCGTGCATGCCAAATGCAATTGCAAGCTACAGCATAAGCCATCTTACTGACATACTAACTGTCAAGCCACCAAAGAGGGCAGTGGACAGTTCTCTAAGGGCTCCTCTCACAGTGACAGATTTGAGACTTCTCCTCTCCAGGCCCCCACATTCTTCCGAAAGTCAGCAGCTGCAGCCTGCTCTGTCTGAGAAGACATACAGATTGTGCAGGCTCCCAGGCTGTTCAACCAGGCAGGAAAAAAGGCAGCTTTGGCCAAAAATGCCAGGAGTTTGAGAAGTTTTCTTTTTAAATGAAGTAATCTTGTGGAAGAATGTGCAGCAGTCTACAGAGCAAGCGTGCTCACTTATGTCTGGCTATCACAGGAAATTCAGGAGTCTGGACAGCTAAAGAATGTACCAAAAAGCCTTCCTTCTCTCCATTTTTCCACCACCACGCTGCTCCTACACAAAGTGACTGGCACAGAAGATTCAGAAACGGAGATCCTGACAAACGTATTTAGGATTCCCTTGTACAACAGGATATTGCCCGGTCTCCAAGAAGGGAGAGTGTTTAAATAGGAAGAGCCAAGGTTAGAAAAAAGATCGGAAAACCCAGACAAGCAATGTTCTGGGTTCCATCAAACCCAACACGTATAAGAAAGTCACAGCTAGGGCTGCCAATCTGCTCTTTAATTCTGCTACCAGTGCCTGGGCATTATTGCATGTTTACTACACGCACACCACTTCTGCTTTCAAGTTTCCTCTCCCAAAGAAGAGCGGCTGAAGTGAGATCTAATACCCACCTCCTAGGTCTCAGGAGAGCACCCAAGGAAGCACCCCAACCCAGCTAGCTTCTGGCTGTGCTGTTCAGATAGAGAAGAAGGATCATTTCCTTGCAGCACACCTTCAGCTAGACAGACCTCTTCACTGACACTGCCAGCACAAGCCCCTGCTAAAAAAAAACTGCAGCTCCAACAGATCCCTTGGGGATGAGAGCTTTACCCGGCATAATACGAACGCATCTACAGACTTAAGCAACACATTGCATTTTTAAAAAGCATAAAACAACAACACGTCCCCCTCCCAGTCCTTTAAAATTGGCACCGCAAGTTCTGGAAACGTCTGAACCCGTAACCTCAAAGAAAAGCCATTTAGGTATGTGACATGCACTGGCCTGAATGAGCCCACGGCCCTGTAACTGCTTGGTATTTAAAGCCCAGCAACTGTTGTTATGATACAAGAGTCAGACTTTGTCAGTTGTTGCCTAGTGCTAAACATCACGCCTGCACCTAAAGGATTGCAGTTACTGGCAAATGCTGACTTTTTCCCCCACGGTTTTTGCTGTGCAAGAAACTCCAGGATTCTCCTGATCCATCGAGCTTCCTATCGCAAGGTGCTAGTGCATCTTAGTTACCAGTCATCATAACAGACACAGAGCAAATGGACTGTTGCTGGTTAAGGTGTTGCACCTTAGATGTACGCATGTAGATTAAGACCACGAAAGATGCTTCAGGTCGGCGGTTACCTCTGCTGAAGTTGCTTCAGTGTTTGGAGCATTCATACCACCTTCCCTTCCTGAAATTCTGGTGCGAGATCCGCCAGACGTTCAGAGAGGCCAAAAGGGCTGGTGTTCCTTTCCTCAAGTGTACAGGACAACATGTAAACATATGACAGTGTCAAAGCAAGGCAGGTTTTTACATTTACCTGCTGGTTTTAAAAAGAGTTCTTTAAAAACTGACCGTCGTCTTTCTTGCCAGTTACGTGAACCATTAAATACTTGGCATGTCCTTACCCAAAGCTGGGTTATTAGTGCACTCACTTGGGGCGCGGAGGGGACAAAGCATTGCACAATAATGTAGAGTCGGGGCATTCCCCTAGAAGTTATTAAGGAGCCAACCTTCGACAGCACATAATGAAGACGGATGTCTGGATCGAGGAAGAGTGACAAAAACTTAAGGACTCTGAGAAATAGAAGCAGAAGGGGGTAGAACAGAGCTGGCTGGCTGCTAATGGAGCTTCGATCGGCAGCTGCCTCTAGGTGGGTGTTGTTGTCTCTCAGGGGTAGCTGCGGCCTCCACAAGATTCCCTAATCCTGTCAAAAGAAGTACAACTGCCTGTCAACAACTATAGCATTTCCCCTCATATCAGGACAAAAAAGATTGCAGCATGCAGGTTAATTGTATGCTTATTCTTCCTACAGAATTGTACAAGCTAGGTAAGATTTTATGTTTGGAACTGTTTCTATCAACTACTCCATCACACAGCTGGAGCAGAAAGCCCACCCATCCTCACAGAGCAAAACAATCAACATACCGGAGGAAGAACAGCGAAACCTGGAAAGCAAGTGTTCTAGGCAATGTGCTAAATTTATTTCAAAATTTGAAATGCAAACAACTTAAAAATGCACGGGATTTTCAGAAGGACAGATCTGCACGTGTGCTCTGCATTTGTATAGCTTTTTTTTTTTTTCCTCTCCCTAAAAACAGGGTCTGCATTAAGGTTCGTTACCTCCTGCTGCTCATTCCCTGCCTGAAGTCACACTGGCTGCTGAAATGGGATTTGACAACGTCCTAACAAACGAATTGTTAAAACCTCCAGGGCAAAATAAGCAGTCAGTACAGTTCTCTCCCAACTGTTTAACGATGCTCTGTACTTGTAATTCAATTGTATTCAGTTATGAGCAGCTCCTGAAACTGAGAGAGCAATATATCACAGCAAGATAAATGGCACACGTACAGGAGCAAACAGGTCTTTAGGCAGTACCCTACACTGGGAAGTCAGGCATGATACTGGGAATCTGGACTTCTTCAGGTTAATTACTATTGCACACCTTCTTTAGCAGGCCACACGGTCAGTCACCACAGCACTCGCATCCATGCCACACTTGGGGTATCCAAGAGCTCAGTAACTAGACAGCACCCTAACGCAGGCAGGCAGCTAATACAGCAGCATCGGGTAACCAAACTGGACGGAGTTTGCTTAAGAATTTTGGCAAGCCTCTGCTATATGAGAAAAATGCTTCATTTAGCAAAGAATTTCTAAGTTTCTCCCTGCAGTATACTCCCAGATTCCCAGTGTTTCACTGTTTTTAACCTGGCAAGTCCAGCGAACTTCCTTCCTCGGCAACTTTATGCTAAACAATATTTATTCTTGGTTCTGCAAAATTAATGTTCCCTCCCTCCAGACTGACAGAAACTTGCTCTTTTTTCTTTTTTTTTAATAGGTAAAAAAAAGACATTTGGGATAAATTTTGCCTTTAACAGATAAAACAGTGGGCCAAATTGAAGTAATCCAGGCAGCAATAAGAGAAACCACACAACTACTTGAAGGTTTTCCATTTGGACAACAAGGCATCGAAACCTGAGTCTTGCCTGATCGTTCCTCATCTTCAACTGTTTACTATTCATTTGTGCTCTCTGAAGAACACAGTTAAAATATCCCACCTCTCCCATTAAAAAAAATTAAAATACTTTCTCTATTAAAAGAGACAACTAGGAAAAGTAATAAAACTGTTTATTAAATAAAGTAAAAAACCTAATTTAAAAAAAAAATATCAAGAATCTTAGTTTTCAGTTTAGAGCAATTAAAATAGTTCATGGAGGGAAGACATCACCACTGGCCAACTGCTGTACATTCTGCAAGGGACCCCTTGCTCTCCATCCCTCTGTCCTGATGAATCACCCTGTCTTAACTCTGCCAGCTCTGCCTTGTATTGTCTTTTGCTTGTTTAAAAAAAAAACAGTTGCCATCGGGTCACCTGGAGGAGCTGCGCTCTTTGCTCACACAGTCGTCCTGGGAAGTTGTATCACCGTTACCCATCATGCTGCATGTTCTCCTCTTTTTCCTCCGGTGCATCATCCCCTCTGTCTCAGAGCCAGAGTCACACTGAAGTATGAAGAGATGAAACCAGAATTCAGAGAAACCTAGTAAACTCTTTGTGCTGTGGAATTCACCATAAGAGCTACCTCAGCAACCCTGAATAATCAATACTCAAAGAACATGCTATTTTAGATTAGACACATGAAATAAATTTTAAATTAAGCATTTAAAAAACAGGAACAGGTATATTCTTAGATTTCATCACTGACTAAGCTGGCTTGGGGCGAGTCAACTGATATGTTCGTTTTCGCTCCTAGAAGGACCTGATTTTCTGAGAGCAGACTCGTGCTTTCTGTAGCACTTAGGTGCCTAGAAACGTCCCCTGTCATAACTGACAGTCTCGGTTTTGGATCTTGTTCCCCCTCCCCATTTTTAAAACATCCATTTTGCAGCCATTTTACACAAGCATGGCTTAGCTAAATGAGTGACAGATTTATATACAACATGAACACAGATCAAACAAACCAAATTCATTTAGCAATACAAAGAGAGGCTTCAGCAAACAGAACCTGCTAAGACCACAGGCTCCTCCACCATGTAGATTTGTTTAGTTGCTTTCTATTAATTTCTTCCATAAGACATGAATATTAGGATGAGGACATGTGATCAGGTATGGAAAAAACCAATATAATTGCAGGATATGGATCACCTACTGTAGTAAAAAGCATTACCTCCGAATCAGAGTCTGAGGAGCTGGAACTTGAGGAACTGGAAGAATCGCTGGAACTATCGGAAGCAATACCAGTAGATTCCTGCAGGTCAACTGAATCAGCCAAGGCCGCCAAGTCAGGATGTTCCTGCTTTAGGATCCTAAATACAGTTGAAATTTCAGGGTTAGCCTTTGAACGGTAACACTGCATGTAAACGAAGAGGGTATTTTTGGGTTTTGTTTTAAATAGAGAATATGAAAAGAAAGCTACTAAATCTCTTACCTGTACCATTTCCGTGACAATTTGGGTCTCCCTCTTACTGTCTTGTGCCACACCACAGGGAAGTTGGTACAACTGGCAAAGTTTTGCGTGATGGCAATAGTTGTGTCAAGATTGAGAACTACATGCCACCAGCCACCTATAAATACAACACCAATGACGATTTCTGGCTACGTAGCCAAAAGCAAGTTCAAGAACAGCCGTGTACACTTTTTCCACAGCACAGGTGGAAATTGGACCTTATCCCCCAAACCCAGGTGAGTCTGCCACCACGTCGTCTTTCCTCAAGTCTTATTTCAGGATTCGCTCCAATGCTTTACAGATTCTTGTTAGAGAAGGCTGCTCAATGCTCTGACCAAATTATCCAGCTCACGAGCAGTACTGAAGATCTGACTTGACAGCAACACACTTCCTACTGATGGCTTATTTAATAGCAAGAGCCATTGTAACCCAGCCCGCACAGAGACCCTCTCTGTTAAGCTGGAGAGCACTTTCCATGCTGATTTAGTAAGGTTCTTATGACTACAGACTAACCTTTCATTTAAAAATAGATGCAAAATTGTTTCCCCACACAGGGTAAAAATAGACAGTGGTGTTCTTACAACCCACTTATAACCTCATAAAAAGACTAAGGAAACAGTTTAATGGAACCTGACAGCTACAAAATCTTAACAGAAGGTACACTGAGGAGTCACTAATAAGCACCAAGACAATCACAAGGCACTCTTCGAACATGAAGTCAGCTGTATGTTAGGGACAAGCAATGTGGATAGAAGCTATGGGCCATACTGCACAAAAACAACGCAAGGGTTAGAGGTTAGAATTTGGCACTGAACTCACCTGCTTTATCCACTAGCCACCTCACCTCCCAGTTACAACGGGCACACAATGTGCAGCCACTCGAAGAGAATGGCATCCTTATCAGATCTTTCTTTAGCTTTTGATTTTAAATGCAAGATGAAGCATAACCACAGAGAGGTGGGTGGAAAGTGTCAGTGCCTTGAAGTAGTTCTTTTCCCACAGCTAAGAAATATTCATATGCAGTCAAACTACCCAGGCTGCAAAATTCAGTCATGAATCTGCTACAGTGTATGTAATCTCAAACATTTTTGTCTAAGAAGTTACTTGTACTCAAACACCTCTATTATTTTATGCCTTGATGGTTTCCTATTACTGCAATTTATTTCAGGATCACACTCCTGTGATGCTGCAACTGAGGTCCCACTTGTACTGTCATCTGTACCACATGCAATCCTATGCTACAGGCCATATACATTTCAGGACATTCAGAAAATAACTGAATAGTCTCAAAGAGCGCCTCGCAATGTATATCCCTTTTGAAACAGCTCAGAATAGTTTCTTTTGTAAGAGAGAGCCCATATAAGAAAGCTGAAACATTCTCTTCGTCTCTACTACGTTAAAAATATGCTTTTCTCTCCCAGAATTCCTTACTGGAGAGATTTGTACATACCTGGCACAAAGACCGTCTCGCCTGGTTTCTGCAAGATTTCCAGGGGTTTGAATTCAGGGGGCCAGGTGGGGAGCTGCGTCCTAGGGTAGATGACATTGAACCAAGTGATAGCCTCATCCTGCTGGTTCCCTCCCTCTTCTCGCGTCACTTTGATCAGCTCTCTGGGAGTGCTGGTAGGAAACAGGCACCAACGCTTATGTCCCTGGACCAAGGCATTCCACGCACTAGTTCCCAAGGGATCGATGTGAATTCCTGTTCCAGAACGAGGTGGGCCCATCACAAACCATCTGCATGAGGGAAAAAAATCCTTTAGTCATAGGGCAAGCAAGTAGCTATCTTATCTTTTCTTCATATTAGACAGAAAATTACAGCTGTTTGTAACTACCTTCATTTCTAACTGTACGTGAAATAGTTCCTTAATTTATCTCCTTGAGATTGTTAGGCTCACGCTACAGCAAAAAGATACAACATGGCTTTAGCCTAAAAATCAACATGAATTGGGACAGGAATGACTCTGGGACAAGAAAGGGAAGATAGCTTTTTATATTTTATAGCTGTATTCTGTTTTAAACAGTTCCTCAATAAAATATATACTTATTGCAAGGTTTATAGATGTGATTAAATCACATTCGTAAACAGCCTGCGTTAGGATTCTTACTGTGCAGGGGGATTCTCCTAATCCTACGTTTTTCTAAAATTCGCTAGTCATAAATGGATCCAGAGCTGCAGAACAATGAGGAACAAACAAAAGGCGATACAAGTAAGGAACAGAGCAAAGTTATGCAACCCTGGCCTCCCTCTATGCCTTCTGTTCATTTACAAGAGGCCTTTCATTCTAACATTTAACCAGTTAGAGCTTATTCTCCAGTGAGCATTCAGGATTTGGTATGTATATTCTCATTCCCCATTTGCAAGGTTTATTTCTCCCTGCAGAGAACTTTATCTGCTACACATGTTTACCAGCAACAGCACCTTCAATTGCGTATTTCCCCTGTAACAGAACAGTAAGATCTACCATACCAGATAAAGGTAAGTGAGGTGACTTAGTATCAGGCATCAAGAGAAAAAGAAATGGCAATAATTGTTTATTGGGCGGCAGGGAGGGTAGAAACTAAAGCACCAACAAGATCCCTGCATCGTGTGGCTGACAGGCAGGCGATATCCAGCAAGAGGCGTTCAAAGGTTCAGGAAAAAATCGGAAGTCAGCAAGCTCTCCATCTCCCCTTTCCAATGCAGCTGTAAATTAAGCTGGTTTCCAAGTACCACTTGCTAGCACCAATTGTAGGACTGTAAGTTGAGTTATCAAGCTGCGCTCTTCCTACTTCACAAAAGAGCCATAAAAACGTAAATAGGCAGGTCTTTGTCACTTCTATTGTCAATTCACTCTTTAGATTCATATTAGCCTCGGAAAGCTAATTAAACTACAAGCAGAACAGTCAAAGCTTTTACTAAGAAGTCAGAGGAAATTAAACACATAAAGATCTGTCTGGTACACAGACAAGACCACTGTTCAATACCATTTCTCTGACTATAACCTCAATCTACACACGCGGAAGATTTTAAAGTCCTTATTTAGCAACACTATCATTTACCAGCATCTTCCTCTGGGCATTTAATTGACAATGAACATAACCCAGTTTGCCACAAGACATCAAATTTACTGTTAAAAACTTCACAACCTGTAACTTCAATTTAAAAGCAGAAAACCCAATCCCCAACCCCCCAAACTAAAATAGCTGCTTCAGTAAATGGCTTCCAAAAATTACTGCCTTTATTTTAAAGAGGAACAACTCCAATAAAGATGCTTTAAACAGCACGAGTTCTTATTTTAAGATCTATACACTATCACACACACCTCAATCCAGAGGTCAATCTCTGCAGTGCATGTCCTGATCATACGATTAGAAAGCACCACTTGCTGTTGGATTTTCAATTATGCTCTTAAACTACTGGACACTCTTCATCCATTTCTGTACCTAGATGAAACCCCTAACTCCGGGAGGCATCAGTGTGCTCTCTTGCATCACTCATCTCTCAAAAAACGGTAACAGCCTCAAACAAACCCACATTTTCCAGAACAAAGTACAAGAATTGTGAATAGCAAGAACACAAGCAAGGAGCTCAGCATGTGCCTGTAGGTGGGGAGGGTGTGGGGGAAAGAGATATCAGTGTGAGTGAGTCACAACCAGATTATCTAGTTTACCTATAACTTGGATAAATGATTGCCCGTTCTGTAAGCGTATTCAGTTTCTACTAGAGACTACACCTGGTGTGCTTTTGCGTTTGATCACAGCATTGTATGTTCTTAGAAGCGAATTATAAAAAGGGTCTGTTACAACACTGTAAAAACACCTACTTCAGTGATCTTAAATAGGAATTAGTTTCATGCTTCACTCCTGCAAAAGCACAACTGGACTATAGACACGTGAAAGACTGCAGAAAAGAGTACCATTATTCATTCCTTGTTCTACTTTACTAAAAAACCCGAAACAATAAAAAAACCCACATCACAGCCTCACATCACTCAAAGGGCAAGGCATTCTCTGGCAATTATAATGTGGCTGTAAAGACTTTAATTACTTGGGAGCGTTCAGCTTATGCTCATTCTGCTATGAAGCATTATATCAACATAAATACAAAAGGGATTTCTGTCTAACACCCCAAATACAAGGTTGTTGCATTTGATTTCAGGAATGAAGTGTCATTTCAATCCTTTTTCAATCAGATGCAAAAATAAGAGTTGAAAAGACTACACAGATGTGAAATACTGTTGTCTCTCAAAATCATCTGAAGAGGAGCTAAGAACTAGTCTCCACACTTCATACTAGTCTAGCTTAAGATCTTTACCTTAAAAGGACTGACTCATAATTCAACAAAATCCCACTATGCACATAAGCCACTGCTGCAAAACCCAGGAGCTCGTCCTGAGGTACTTAAAATTTGAAAGCCAGAAGGCACACATAGCAAGAAATTAACCTTCATTACCTTCAGTAACTACGTAGTTTTTTTAAAAATCTAAGAAGCGAGGTAAACTGACTTGAAAAAAAGAAAAAAAAAAACAAACCCATAAACTTGTAGCAACACTGTGATACGCAAATCTGCCCTTCCCTCCCTCTGGGTTACAGATGTACACTCATTTCAAAATAGCAGACGTAAAGCTATCACTTTGTTTTATACAAGACAATCATACCTGTTTAGGAATAGCTAATGAGATAGAAAATACCTACTTTTATCTTGCCGTCACTGTACTATACCTGTAAGGCGGCCTTCGTTTCTCCCCCGCATACTGGAACAGATCATCAGTGAAGAATTTGGGTACTTTGTAGTCCTCCAGAAGTTTCCTGCGCTTGGGATGCTCTCCATAACTGCTGTCAAAGATGTAGAGCGGGCTGTCATCACGTGTGGTTTCCATATACTCTATGTAGTACTTCATCTTCATCTTCACAGAATAACCGTCATTGTCCTCCCCACATTTGAACTTCTGGTTCCTATACTTGCGTTTCAGTCGTTCCAGAGTCCACTTCTCTTGGGCAGACCAGCCCACCTGAGCATTCAGCAAGACTACAGGCTTGTAAGGTTTTTCGTAACGCTCAACAAATTCCTCCACTGTTAATTGGAGCGCATCTGCCCTCTCCACATTATCCTGTGAAACCAAGAGAGGAATACAGACCAGATATTAGGCCAGACTAACGTCCTAGAACCGCGCTTTCTAAGTCGGTGTGGAGGAGCTTCACACTCATACTTTGTTCCACACACCACCAGGGTATCAAGCTGCCTACGTGTTATTTTAAGCTCCCCGAGGCCGCAGTCCTATTTCTCACGCCCCGCTCCTCGCACCCATCAGTAACACCGGCAGCATGAAGCCGTTTGGTGCTCCTCCCCGCCGAGGTAACCGCCCGGGCGGAGAGGCCACCCCTGCCCTTGCGGCTGACATATCCCCTGCCGCCTTTCACCCCCCTCGCCGCCCGCGGGACCCGGGGGAAGGCGCCTGGGAATTACGTGGGCGCTCCGGCACTGAGGGGTGCCCATCCCACCCCGACGGGGCCCTGACCTCCCCGCACCCCTCGCCAGGCGGAGGGAGGGGAAAAAACGCGGGTGCTGCTTGACCTCCCCCTCCCCGCCCCGACGCTCTCC